ATGTTGTTTCTGATCTTCTTCACTTACAAGTTAGGGATATTTTGAATGTTGTGAAAGCTGATAGTAAAGAACATAAATATAACTAAATACTTTCCCAGGCTTTTTTTTACGGAGGTTACCTGCACTTACAATGTTTAAATGTCAAATTCCTCAATATAAGATGGCAAGATATAAATTTATAATATGAAAGGAAAAATAAAGTGGTTTTAGTGTCAAAAATGAAAGCTCAAGAAAATTTTACGGCAATTTTTATAGAAAATAATTGAAGTATCATAACCAAAAACGAAAACTAGCTTTATTGCATTTGAGAAAAGATCTGGAAGCCAGCAATAATACTCATAAAATTTTTATAAAATACTACAACTTAATTATAGCGAGAAAATGGATTCACTTCAATAAGAATAGAATTCCAATTTGCAAGGGCAAAACTGCATCGGGAAAATTACAGCAAGTGTATGGCATTAGCTTGAGAGAAGAATGATGTGAATGATGATGCCGCACATGATGTGTTCTTAAGAATTCCAAGAAAGTGCTTGAATTAAAAAAACAACACATTAAACTCTCTTATACTAGAAAGTACAAATCAAAGAAGATTCAAATCTTAGATATTCTCTGGTACAAATAAACCAGATACCAAATACTAGGTGGATTGATAATTACTTGACTTCGCAACAGGTGGCAACGCCAGAACAAAATCAATTGTATTTTATGTATCGGGCAAAATTTAAACAACAGCTGTAAAAGTTTCGACTACCTCCGATTTTTGGTTAGCTTTTTGGAAATAATTAAAACAGTGCACCTTGGTGATTTTTTATAAAATGGAAAAAATTGAGTATCGACCAGTAATAAAATTCGTCCATTTGTAAGGAATGAGCAATGATGCAATCAAATTGGATATGGATTCTGTGACAGCATTTAAAGTTGATTGCATAAATATTTAAATATGATAAATCTTTTTATAAGTTAGATGCTGTCTTTACTAACATTAGACTTAATAGAATTTCGTTATAATTTTTGATTTATAACGTCTGATAAAACGTAGATTGATCACTACATTTCTCTGACTAAAATATAATCGAAACTGATTTTAAAAAGTGTGAACGGCTTCTTAGTATAAAGCAAAGACTATTCTCCCAACAGTAATAGCAGAAGGGCCTGCTATCGTATAAGGCGTACAGTATCTGGCGCATACTAAATAAATGAAATACACAAATTACTGAAAAACCACTCATTGGGTTTTGTAAGAAAAAGACTTATGAATTGTGTTTTAATTGATTTTCTTTTATTTTCCATGCTTAACTTTTTATGAACATATTTTAATTTTAAAGACCTGCATGAAAGGTAAAACTTCAAGTTAAATGAAGAGGTGATTTCGGTGGTAAATCAACATTTTGAATATCTTGATGCAATGCATAATTTAGAAGTTTTTTTAATAATTCAGAGTAACTTTATGAAAATTGTATCCAGTTAAGAAAATGTTAAACAAAACATTTTGTCCAAAATTTTTAAAATAATTATTAAAAGAATCCCGCAGGCATAAAACAAACAATTTAAAATTAAAAGCCACAAAATGTCATTAACAAACAACATTTGTTTTGTTGAAAAATCACAATGATGATGAAGAGTCATATGTATCTGCAGAATATAATATAAAATATATTTAAATTTACATACAATATTTGATGAAATCTTATAAATATTGTTTTTTTAGTATTTACTATTACGAAAAATTTTGCTTTGATAAAAACGACCACAAAATTTACCAATATTCCATAAATTGATTGCATATGCCACTAGAAAAGGATACATACTCGTAATTTCATGCAACATTAATTGTGGATAGGACTTCATCCTTTCACTTTTAAAAGTTAATAAATATCCTGCTTCATATTTCGATACATGATTTTGAATGTTTAATACAATTTATTTATAATGATGACATTTATAAAAAGGTATAGTCATTATTTTCCAGATGCCTCAGTTTGAATAAACATTATTTTTAACTAAGAACTTAAAGAGAAATATATTTATGACTGCAATGCTAGTCATACTAAATTTACTTGCAATATAGATAGCGGTTCTAAATACGTTAAGTATCAGGCTTTGTAAATACATGGTTAATAATATTAAAAATAAATTTTGCCAAAGTTTCGTCAATAATTCTATAGGGTACTTAGTAGTTTTTTTTTTTGAGAGTGAGAATGCTAGAGTGATTATTTGTTTGGATATTAACAGACAGAATTAATTTAAAAGTTGATTATTATTGGAATAAGTCATTGTTGTGATCTAAATATAATATTGTAATCAATTGTAGGTATGCCTAAAAGTTAATCGTAATAATCGAAATAATGCAAATATAGATTAATTACTAGTCTGTTTTTTAATTTAATCATAACCTTAAATCAAGGATATACTCAAAAAAATTATCAAGGCTATAGGTCTTATACTTCCTTTTGTAAAAATAATTGGCATCGATTATGTCGATGTAAAGATATTGTAAGTGAATAGATTTCTTAAATATTAATTTATAAGTTTTTATTTGATGGAAAAAATTTGAATTGCAAACTCAGCGAATATGAAAAATTGTTCAGTATTATAATCACATATAGGCTATAATCATTACGAACGATTTAAGTACTCTCTAAATGTCTGGAATATAGTGTTCTTGATTTCTTGATTTTTTTAAAATTTGATTAATCTAAAAATTTTGTTGAAATGTTTTTGTTAATTGTTCGCATGTAAGTACCTTATTATATTATAAGAATTTCTTGCTGTAGAATGTTCCTTCTACCATGCACTATTTTCCAGTAAACTTCTGTGGAAGACACCTCCCAGTTTCTCTTGTGCAACAAATTAAAAAGAATTTTATAAGTCAAAAATGATAGTTTATTATCCATCATTTATATGGAATATTTTTTTTTAAAAAAAGTAATAATAACATATGTATAGTATATACATATCAAAGAATATTTTTACAAATAATCTTTAATAAATATGACTGCAAAAAAAAAATTTTCCCAAAATGTATTCTCTTAAATACTTGCATTGTCCTTTCTTACTAAAGGCATTAAAAAATAATAGATGTCTATGTTTATGTATATATACATTTTAGTTTTTGTTATTTATAAAATAATGAATAAATAAAAAATACTGAAATTATTAAAGACGTCTAGAAATACTAAACTGCAAGAACTAAAATTAAAAGTATTATTTTTCTGTAGAAAACTGGAGATCAGTGATATTATAAAGAGAATATAACACTACGTTTTTATAGGTCGCTTGGATCAGTGTTAGTCCACACATTGTTGTAAATTCTTCAAAATTAACAAAAATTAAGAACATATAAAAGATATATTATAGAGTTATGGTCTTTTTTTAAAATTGATCTGGAATTATTCTTTAAATAATAATCATAACATATGTAACATTTATTTCAAATATATCTTTACATAATGAAAAAAAAAAATAATTTATAAAGACTTGGCAATCAGGTTATTTCACTTGTGACGTAAACCAACGGTATTTTATTCGGTTGTCTAATATTGTAATTCTTAAGTCCACTTAAGTTCCTTTTCTATAAAATTCTCTATTTTAACTTAAGTTGTCATATGTGGAAAAGAGATGACTACATTTATTTTAACATACGTGCTTTACTAGTGCAAAAAAATGCTGGTGGAATATTAGTCTCTTCGCAACCGTTTCGGGCACAAGTCGTTAAAGGAGTTGAGGCTTAGCATTATCTTTTACAATATTGGCAAGTGTTAATTAAAGTAGAAGTAATGTAAGAATTAGTGAAAAAATAAAAAAAAAAGAAAAGGGAAAGCTGGTGTTTAAAAATTGTTAAAGAAACAAAATTGACTAAGAAAAGCTATTGTCTCTTAAAACTAATATTCGTCGGAAGTTGTGAAATAACATATCGTGATATTAAAGTTGATATAGTATTTTATATCTAACGTGTGTATATAATTTATGAATTTTAAATTGGTTAGGCAAATATACTATTTTAAATATATCATCAACTAGAAAATTACATTTTTTTGGGTTTATTCTATCCTAATTTCCTGTTGCTTTTAGTTATAATTCGTGAGCAAATATAACGGAAGTAAGACGCGATGACGACGCGATTTTTTACTCATTTCTAAATCTTGTATTGTAGATTTTTTTCAAAGAAAAAAATCTTTTTTTTAATTCATTTCCACTTCTTAGGTCCATATATGTTAATTTTAAAATAAAATTAATATTTTAAAAAAATATAAAATATTGTGAGTTCCCTTCTCACGCACCTTGGCGTAATTTTGCTGTGAATTTGTATTAAGGAACCCCCTCTAATTACGAATATATGTTATTCATACCAACACATTTCTTGTGCTAGTGATATAAATAATCTAGTTTCAAGTAGTCTGTTATTTCGATAAGTAACTGGACGTTAACAGAGATGTTTTATAAGATTGTGATAGAATAAGCACTTTTATAAATACTATAATTTTTTGATATTATCTCAATCATATTTTTACATATAGTGGTAAGAAACATCTTTCAATATGTATTATTTATTTTTGGGCAGACAGTGTTCGGTCTTATGCTTGACACTCACGATCAGATATATTAAAATATACCATTATTGTAATTGTACCTGACTTAATTTAGGCGCCAGTAATCACTTGTAATTCAAACATTACTGGCGACATTACATAGTACATTCGAAACAATTGACTATTTAATTATTCTGGGGGTTCCTTTTAATTAATTTGTTATAATTAATGTAAATATTCACATTATCATAAATATTCACATTGGAACGGTATACTAGTAGTCTATCTGAAACATTCAGACTGTGGGAATTATATTAAAAATCCAGGAATTGTCTTATATATCTATGGAGAAAAATTAACAGTAAAGTTTTACTTTTAAAGTTCCTAAAGCAATAGGAAATTTAAAAATACTACTCATGACTAGCATTTGATTGTATTGTACATAAAACAATAAAAAAATAGTGTTCTTATTTTCAGTAAATTGATAATTCGGCTTATGACCTATGTTCTAATTAAATTATGTCGGTAGATGAAAAGTCTTCAGTGCAATCTAAAGTTAATTCTTTAGATGTGGTAAGTGTACCAACCATTATTTAATAAAAATATTAGTATTTAATTTACAAACATCTAGACTATACTAACTGAAGAAAACACAAAAACCGGGGCTATTAATATTCCCTCAGGAAATTTTATTGAAATTAAAAGGGATTTAAAAGATCAAGAGCATTACTCTGAGGTAAGTCATTATAGTTTTCGTAACTATAATAACTACATTATAATTGTAGCAAATAATGTCTAACCAAGAAACGGAATGTTTCGGTGGAGATATGTCAGATATAATGATAGAGGACAACAATCTTGTAGAAATTGAAACTGAAAATGATGTGTTAGAAGATTCCAATAAAGTAATAAGCTTGTCTAAGGTAAGCCATAATATATTTAAAGATAAAATTCAACTAGACAATAAACTGTAGATTACTGAAGTTGAAGATAGAATTTAAGCTTATATTGATAATACTAGAAAGTAGACAATCTGCACTGGGGTGGATACCATTTTTTAAAAATTGAATTTCTTTATAGAAAACAATGATAGGAACAATATAAAATTAAGAAAAATGTCGGTTAAAACAGTACACCCAAGTCTCGTTTTATACCGAATTGATTATAATGATATTATTATCATAATAATTACTGTGAGGTTTGATTTACCCTAATAGAAAAAAAAAAGTTCTAAGAAGGGCATTTTTTTAGAAATGAAAATTAATATTTTGGGTCGGTTGTCGAAAGCAGATGGATCAACAGCTATTGGGAAGCCTTTTAATATAGCCAAATCAACAATAAAAAGAATTAAAAATTATGAGGCTGCAATAGCAAAACAAAACTAAATAGCAAGCTATCATATTTGCAAGAAACGATTTATTAGAAAAAATGAATGGGAAGAGTTCAAAGAATTATTTCAAAAAAGAGTTCCTTTAAGCGGTTATTTAATTCAATGAAAAGTTTTTCATTATTATGAAAATATGAGATAATTGAAGCCATCTACTTCTCAAATTGAGAAAAGTTTTTCATCCAGCGAAGAGTGGTTGGTCGGGTTTTTAAAATGGAATTCGCCACATAATGTGAAAATAACGGACGAGGTTGCATTGGTGGATACGGCAGGTGGTAAAGATTTTTCGAAGAAGTTAGCTAAAATGATCGAAGATGGTGGCTATTTATCTGACCAAGTGTTCAATGCTTATGAGACAGTTATTTTGATAAAAAACTCCTGATCGGACTTATATAGCTAAATCTGAGAAAAAGACAAGTGGTTTAAAGACCAGCAAGCGTTGTATAACATTAATACTTTGAAGTAATGCATCAGGAGATTTCATGTTAAAATTACTCGAAGTACATCCTTTCCTAAGGCCAGGTGCATTAAAATATAAAGATATTCAAAAACTCCAGGTGCACTTGATGGCCAACTCAAAAGCTTGGGTGGTAGCAGCAATATTTAATTATCGGTTCAATAATTATTTTGTGCTCGAAATAGAGAAATATTGTTTTATATATTGGATTTTAAAGCTATACTTGTTGAAAGCGCTTCAGGACATATAAATTTAGAACATTGAAGTGTATTCTTCTAGTTTCTTCTTGTGATGAAGATGATATCCAGCCTGTTCGCAAACAAGTCCGTATATTCTCTGATAATGATAATGATTAAATATCTCATTTAACGGCCTTAACATGTTTCAAAAAAGTTGGATATAAAATGAAATGCTATTAAACGAAACAAGTGATTCCATACAAATGTATGGTATATAATGAAACTGGTTCCGAAAGAAGAAACAATCTATATATGTATAACGACTTCAAAAAAGAAGAAAAAATTTATATTTTATCACTTTAAATCTGATATACATATATTCATTACTGAGGTATATATTTTTAAGATCTTCATGATTGTTTAAGCAACAAATGTAATGTTACCTGTTTGATTTTTTACTCTTTTATAATTATTGCATATGGTTACATAGCTTCATTACCTTTTTTGGGAACGTCTGAGCATTGCTAGGGAAGGGAATTTGTAGATTTAAAGTCACTGACTACTTAATCAATTTTGTCAAAACATTTCTTCAGAATTTGGGATGTTAATTTAACACTATTATCTGATATGATTTCCTTTCCTCATCGAAGTTTTCTGAATCATCTACCTTCAGCAGTTTTTCATTCGTAAGCTGTTCTCTTCCGTTTTTTAAAAGTTGGCTGACGTCATCTGTAATGTAAACAACAAAACCAGCCTCTATTGCCGGTTTAACAACATCATCATTTATATTCATGGTCAGACCATAAAGATTTGTGAAATTTGTTAAGAGATAACGTTTGTATTTCCTTCCATGATCGATCTATGTTTACTATGACATCTTTAACGTTGTGGCTTTTCCAAAAACCTTTCCGGCACTTTCAATTATCTGTTACTTGTGTGAGCATTCGAAAAATTTTTGTAGACAATGCGTTTTAGAAGTGTATGTAAGGTGCTAATCTTGATCCATTAGCTGGAGTAAAGCCGTGATATCTTTCGGCAACAAATACTTTGATTTTTTAGAGAAATCGCAAACGGCTTATTGGGTGTCATGGCGCATTGTCTAAAAGGAGTAGATCTTTATAAGATAAATTGTTCTTCTCTAAATATATTTAACCTTCTGGATAGAAGTATGTATGAACTTATTGTTAAAACCGTATTTTCCTAATTCTAATTTCGTACTGAGTTAATAGCGTATAAACAACTTTTAACAATTTGTGAGCATTAAAAACATAATGCTCATAGTGCTACTAAAATGTCGCCTTTTTGTCTGAACACTAATAATTTACTCTGAAGCCACTCATATATACTACATATAAGCAAAATAATATTATGAACATAATTATAATATATAATTTTTTTTGGCCGTTAAACGAGGTATTTTTTGGCTGCTACGCGAAACATGGTCATAAATATGGTTGGACCGTTATACGAGGCGGCCGTAAACCGATGTATGAGGGTATAAGCCTAACAAAATTTCTGGACGTTCCAGAGTTGCCATAAAAAGTAGTGCTTATTTTGTTTTTTTTTTTGCGACAGCTTACAAAAGAAAAGGCCTGCAGTAATCAGTTAAGATTTAGTATGTGGACTCAGATAAAAAATATTACAGTTTCAATTTAAAAGTTGGATATAGGTGGAAGTAAATTTTGTTTTTAACAATATTTTATCTAAATTTTAAAATTGTTATGAATATGAAAACACGTTTCCGAAACAACTTAATATATAGAAAATATGAAATAAAAGATAAAGGATATCTGCATTAAAGGTAGAGTTTAAAATATATATATTCTAATTTTATGAGTGCTATTCTTTAAAGTACATAAGAAGTTGAATTTATCGGTATTAATTCTTATAACGAATTAGGACACTATTATGACAACTTTAAATATAACACCTGATCAACTCATAGCTGATTTTTTGGGAGATTCTACATGTGAGGTAGGTTAAAATTCATTGTTATCACGTACATTTTTTTATATTTATATACATAATTTGTAGACAATATTCAATGACAGTTCAACTTCCTTGGTTCATGATTCCTTGGTTAATGCATCTTTTGACAAACTAAACAACTCTGATGACTTAATGTATTTTGCAGAGGTAGAGATTAGTTTCTTTGCATCGATTAGTTTCTTATTTAATAGAATATATAATTTAGTGTACATCGGTTAAACCAGATGCTCTTATTGGAACTCTAAAAATGACTCCGGAACAATATACAGATGTTATATTGGCTGATAACACAAAATTTATCCCGGATGAAAGTGAGAAGATTCTCCTTGTGAAAACTTTCGATAAACCAAGCTATTTTGAAGAATCAAAACACTCTGCTAAGGTAATCTTTACTTTTTTTACATCGGTAATTCCATTCTTCATAAGTGTATATGCTAGGTTCGATCTATTGAAGTGGAAGCTCCGAAAGAACTTGTAGGCAATTTTAATGTTTTGAACAAAGGAGACTCTATATCTGAGGTATGTTAAAATTTATATTACGTGTGATAAGTGATGATCTTAAATTAAAATTCTTGAGCTCTGCAGTTAATTGAAGAACTAGAATTATCATTTAATGCATCAATTGACGAATCAAATGATATGGATGATTTTATTAATTTCAATGAAAAAGATGTCACTGAGGTAGTTAAAATTGCTCTATATAATTAAATTTAATTACTGTAATTAAAATATTTCAGATTACATTAATTGATGACGTAATTTCTGTTCTCAATGAAAATAAAATAATTGCTTGTAATGAATCTTTTGACGAAGCAAGTAATCTTGATATGTCAACAAACTCTGATAAGGTAACCTTAGCTTCTTCACATTAATTTTTTTTATAATTAGCATATATAATAGATTCGACCTATTGAAAACGAAGATCCGGAAGAATTGATTGCTGATTTAAATGTAAACAAAGGAGATTCTCTTTCTGAGGTAGGGTAATACTTACTATAAGACTAAAAATTTTAAATCGTTAGTTTAAATCTTGGACTTTGCAGAAAATGTTACTAGATGGAGAAACCCTTTCTTTAAATGAATCATTCAAAGAGTCAAGTGATTTAAATGAGTTAATAAATTATGCTGAGGTAAAGTTACATGTTGTCTTTAATACATAAAATCTTTGTACTTAATTGAATATTTATATAAGATTGAATCTCTTAAACAAGAAGCACCTACAGGAGCTATAAAGACACCTTTAAAACAATGTGTAGGCGATTTTAATGTTTTGGACAAGGAAGATTCTATATCTGAGGTATGTTAAAATTCACTTTATGTGTGAAAAGTTAGATCTTAAATTAAAATTCTTGAGTTCTGCAGTTAATTGAAGAACTAGAATTACCATATAATGCATCAACTGACGAATCAAATGATATGGATGATTTTATTAATTTCAATGAAAAAGATGTCACTGAGGTAGTTAAAATTGCTCTATATAAATAAATTTAATTACTGTAATTAAAATATTTCAGATTACATTAATTGATGACGCAATTTCTGTCCTCAATGAAAATAAAATAATTGCTTGTAATGAATCTTTTGACAAAGCAAGTAATCTTGACATGTCAACAAACTCCGATAAGGTAACCTTAGCTTCTTCACATTAATTTTCTTTTTAATTAGCATATATAATAGGTTCGAGCTATTGAAAAAGAAGATCCGGAAGAATTCATCGCTGATTTAAATGTTGTAAACAAAGGAGATTCAGTATCTGAGGTAGGGTAATACTTACTTTAAGACTTAAAATTTTAGATTGTCAATTCAAAATCTTGAACTTTGCAGATAATGTTAATAGATGGAGAAACTCTTTCTTTAAATGAATCATTGAAGAAGTCAAGTTATTTAAATAAGTTAGTAAATTATGCTGAGGTAAAGTCATATTCTGTCTCTACTATATACAATCTTTGTACTTATAAAATATTTATATAAGATTGAATCGCTTGAACATGAAGAACCTACAGGAGGTATAAATACGGCTTTTAAACAATGTGCAAATGATTTTAATCATTTGGACAAAGGAGATCCTATATCTGAGGTATGTTAAAATTTACTTTATTTGTGAAAAGTGAAGATCTTAAATTTATATTCTTGAGCTCTGCAGGTAATTGAAGAAAAAGAATCACCTTTTAAAGTATCATTTGAGGAAGCAATTGATACAGATGATTTCATTATTTCGAATAAAGGAGATATAGCTGATGTAAGAAAAATCGCTTCATATGGATATCGTTGAATATTATACTTGAAATATTTCAGACAACATTGATTGGTAACACAATTTCTACCGGCAATGAAAATGAAGAAACACTTCTTAAACCATTTCCTTGGAAACCAAGCAGTTTTGATAATATAATAAGATCTGCGGAGGTAATCACTTTAGATTCTTTATATAGATTATTTTGATATTTTATTACACATATATATTTTAGCTTAAATTTGTTGGAAAAGAAGCTCCAAAAGAATTTACAGTTGAATCGAATCTTTTTAATAAGGGAAATCCTATATTAGAGGTAGGTTAAAATTTAAGCTATTACTTATCTCTACGAGTATTATTTTTATTATAAAGATTTTATTTTTACTATGACTTTTGTGAGAAAAAAAACTTGTTCTGTTCATTAAATGTTTTAAGAGGTGCTTTAGGGGAACACTTTTAGTGCACTATCTTAAAACTAACTTATTAAAAATAAAAAGAGGAACTAACGAAGTATGAAAAAACTAAAGTATTATTTAGAAATTGTAATTATAAAATTATATATTAGATATAGGGCTGCTCGACTAAGTATAGTGCATTTCAATATTGTTACAGTATATGATATTAAATTATATTGTTGTAGGAATTGTAGGGAAGGATGGTGGGATTTATGATCGGGTGTGTTAAGGTAATGAGCATGAAATAAAGAATGGTAAAGAGGATGGTGGGATTACTAATCGGACGTGTTAAGGTAATGAGGATGAAACAAAGAAGAGCAAATAAAGTAAGAGAGGGTAAGAGAGTAGAAGAAAAAAGTAAATGTCAGGCTTAAAATTGGGCTAATATTTGTATATGAGTGTGAAACAAAAGATGTGTGTTGTCATATTGTGTGGAACTACAGTTAAAGTACATATTAAAAATAACCGATTTATACGAGATAAATACCAACTCAGTAGATGGTAATACTGTGATTTGAATTTTAATATGACGGTTGTTTTTCGAGTAAGAACAAGGTATTCTTGATAGTAAAATATCTACAAAAGTATAATATACTTAGGGGCTGCAGGAGAAGTATTGCCTACATTGTTGTAGCGTGTGGTGACTTTATTTATAAATATCAATCTATGTGGCATGTAATAAAAAAATTTTTTTGATAATAGTTGATAAGAATTTGGCTTATATGTCCCTGATATATACAATTTTTTGGAAATTGTATGTATATGAATATTTATAAATTTTTGTTCACATAATGAAACCTACATAAGTGGATGTTTCATATTTGTAATTATTTGAGATTGACTCGCAATAACATTTTATATAATTTTAAATATTTTTTTTTTTTTTTTTTTTTTTTTTTTTTAAAACATACATTTATTTATTGCATCTTCTCTTAAAATGAGACTGTTAGTCTATTACAACTGTTAGTTGTAAAATCTGATAACTAATTACATAATGTTACAAATTTTTATTTTAATTATACATTGTATAAAATAAAATAAAATAAGTAAACCTTATATCACGAACCTCACTTAGATTAATGGGTTAAATTTCATTAGAGTGAATGTTAGGTGGTTTCTTAAGAAAGTGGTTCAACTTTAACAGATTACTAAAAAGAAAGGTGCGGTTTTTACTTCAAGCTGTTGAATATTAATTAACGGATGGACGGTCAGCTCTTTTTAGACGGGAAGTAATGGATAAAAGTGCGAGATTTCTTGCTAAGGAGATTAACATGCTCTGTCAGCCTTTTATTGTATTTTTTTCTTATATTGTCAAATTCAGCTTTAACTAGGGGAATTTGTAGATCTCGGTGTATACTTTCATTCCTAATATACCATGGGGCACCAGTGATAATTCTTAGTATTTTTGACTGAGCTCTTTGTATAATTTCAATATTTGAAGCACTAGCATTGCCAAATAGCTGGATACCATAAGTCCATATTGGTTTTATGATGCTGTTATACAAGAGTACTTTATACTCTAGGCACAGGGAAGATCTGCTATTAATGAGCCAATGCAACTTAGAGGCTTGAAGCTTCATCTGAATTTTTTTGGCTTCAATATGTTTGCGCCAAGTTAGTCGTCTGTCTAGGTGGATACCTAAGTACGTTATATTATCTGCTTGTGGTATGGGAATGTTGTTTAGTAAAATTGTTGGAGATGTACTCCGATTTAAGGTAAAAATGACGTGTCTACATTTTAGTTCGTTAATTTTAATTCGCCATTTTGACAACCATTTCTCCACCCGATATAAGTGAGATTGAAGTTGGTTTGAAGCTAGCACAGCGTTTCTGTTTCGGCATAAAATTGCCGTATCATCGGCAAACGTTGTGGTGATAACTGAACTACTTATCGGGATATCAGATGTGTAAAGTACATACAATATAGGGCTAAGAACACTTCCTTGTGGAACGCCAGCTTTTATTGGGAAATTATTAGAAGTATATGATTTACATTTCACTTTTAAGCTTCTATTATGCAGATATGATTCTAAAACTGAGTGGATATATGCAGGTAATGAACAGCGTATCTTATATATGAGTCCATTATGCCATACTTTATCAAATGATTGTTTAACATCAAGGTATACCGCGGAACAATATTGTCTGAGCTAAAATGCGTTTCTTATTTCATTCGTTATACTATTCACTTGCTCAATGGTTCCATGTTTTTCCCTAAAACCAAACTGGTGGGAGGGTATTAAGTTTTGAATGTTAAGGAACGGTTTTAGCTTTAAAAGCAGTGCTCTTTCAAAGAGCTTAGAAAGGCATGGCAGTAAGCTTATTGGTCTGTATGAAGAGGCAAGTGTGGGATCTTTACCTATTTTATGAATCATAATAATCATGATTGTTTTCTACTCTGTTGGGTAAAAACCAAATTTAATAATAGCATTAAAAAGTCTTGTGATAAAATTTATAGCCAAAAGGGGTTAGTTTTTTATCATGATGGGTGAGATATTATCATATCCCGGTACCTTTTTGCAATCTGACTTATTTGTGATTATTTGGACAAGATCATTGGCCGTGATATTCATGTCAATAGATGGTACTGGTGGATCTTGAGTGGGAAAGTCATAATGTCCTGTTGCAGGATTTGGTTGTAACACCTCTTTTAGGTAATCAGCAAAAACGGTAGATTTTTCTTCATCACTTCGCGCCCAGTTTCCAAGAGAGTTTCTTATTGGAGAATCGGATTCTATGGGGGAATTTATACCTTTGCTAGCATTCCACAAAGATGAATGGTTTTTGTCATTTGGACATAGGTTTTGAATATGATTATATTGTCTGATTTTGGTTTCCTTGCTTAATGCAGATCTAAGTCTCCTTTGGGCTTCCTTAAATAAGTTTTTTGCTAAAGGGGACCTAGATTTTTGCCATTCACGCCTTAATCTACGTTTTTGTAAAACTAAATTCTCTATGTCATTATTTGTAAGTATTTTATTGAATCTGTATATTTTATTGTCTTTAGTGGTGGAGTTTTCTGCTGCTGAAATCAGAATTGAGTTTAAAACCGAGGTTGCGTCCTCAATATGAGACTTACACGTTATCTTGTAATTTGTGTCAATGTGTGAATTAATGTACTTTTTATATTTGACCCAGTTTGTTCTAGGACTTGTAAGGCTATAGGAACAGTCGTATAACTGAGGACCATCAAGTAAGCAAAATGTGACTGGGAAATGGACAGAAAACAAATCGCAGCTAGTGTATGTTGAGGTAAAATTTTTGCTTATGCCTTTGGTCACGGCGAAGTCTATTAGGTCTGGTATTTTATTGTTATCAGCAGACCAATATGTTAACTGCCCAGGAGAAATTACGTCTAATGCATTTTTTCTATTTAGAATGGAATTGTGGAGGTGTTTTCCTTTTGAATTACAGAGTCGTGAACCCCAATACGTGTGCTTAGCGTTGTAGTCTCCCGCCGCAGATAATCTTTCACCTAGAGTTAAGAAGTAATCCGTAAATTGGAGCTTAGTAATGTTGAAGCGAGGGGGGCAGTAAACTGCTGATAAAGTTAAATTTTTTCCTTTGTACTTAAGGCATATTGATGTTGCTTGCATATAGTTATGAGCATATGCACCTAGAAAATTGTGTTTTAGACGCCTTCGTATTAAAATACCTGTACCACCATGTGCTTTGCCATCTGGGTGATTGGTTTTATAGAATAAATAACCAGGAATAGAAAAGAAATTTTTGTTTGTTAGATGTGTTTCTGACCGAGGTATTACATCCCCACTTTCTCGGAACATAAAATTTGTGAGTTCAAGTTTATGATGGCTTAAAACGTTTGCATTCCATGTACAAATTTTTAAAGTATTTATTTATTAGACAAAAACATTTGCATTAATTGGCTTTGCATTTTAACTATCTCGTTAAGAGTAGTTTGCATGATTGACATGAATTGAGTTAAGCTTTGGGTGAGAGTGGAGATCATCATTTCCAAACTATTACTTTGAACTGGAGGGGCTTGTTGCTTGTCAGATTTAACGACATTAGCATATGAAACACCTTGTGTAACAGGCCTAGAAGTTAAAGGTTGAGGTACTTCAACTAATTTAATAGGGTTGCTTCTTGTAGGATTACGCAACGCTTCTTTCTGCAGAGCTAACCTGTGCTTCAGTTCTTTATAAATAGGACAGCTTCTGTAGTTTGCAGTGTGATTTCCACTGCAAGTGCTACATTTTTTGGAGTTGGTATCCTTTAATGCTTTCATGGCATTCGGAACTATGAAGCTCATCACAAGCTACGCACACTGTACGAAGAGTGCAATATGACTTGGTATGGCCATACTCTTGGCAGTTTGTGTATTGCACCGGCCCATTTCTTTTGTGGGGCTCCTCAACGCTAATTCGGTAAAGTAAATACTGTAGGTTGTAAATGGGATGGCTCTCATTTTTTTAAGTTTAGCAGCTTCCGGGTGAAGTCCAACTTTGAACATAGATTGTGGGATTTTATCTTTGTTAACAATGTTTATAACTGCTCTAGCGCTAAAGCCTTTTTCGCTTAGGGTATTTGTTATCTCAATGGGTTCTACATCTGACTCAATACCTTTAGTGACGACAACAGGGTCTTTACTACTCTTCAGTTGGTATGTGTAGTAATTTTTTTGCTGTCTTCGAAATATTTGGTTATGACCCTAAAATTGTGTTCAGTGTCGATTTGGATTTTGGTTTCGTGTATATTGCCCCTAGTCATGGGAACAGTATGAAATGTATTATTTGCAATCAGACGTGCAAGGACCGTAACTAGGTTATTTGAGCTGCGTTCACTCAGGTGGATTGGAGGCGGTTTACAATTTTTGGTAATAGGGTGATTAGCTTCCTCT